ACTAGAGAATGGACTTGAGGATATGGGGAGGGAGAAGGGTAAGCTGTGACAAAGTGAGAGAATGGCATGGACATATATACACTACCAAATGTAAAATAGCTAGCTAGTGGGAAGCAGCTGCATAGCACAGGGAGATCAGCTCGGTGCTTTGTGACCACCTAGAGGGGTGGGAGGGAGGGAGACGCAAGAGGGAAGAGATATGGGAACATATGTATATGTATAACTGATTCACTTTGTTATAAAGCAGAAATTAACACCATTGTAAAGCAATTATACTCCAATAAAGATGTTAAAAAGAAAGGAAGGAAGGAAGGAAGGAAGAAAGAAAAGAAAGGAAAGAAGAAAGAAGGAAGGTAAAAACATAAATAGATGTGGTCCCTTCCCTATGTGAGCCTGAGGACATAGGCTAGCTGCACATTGTTAATCAGGACAGAAGGTGTTAATGGGCCAGGAAAGAACAAAGTATAGGGAAGCTCAAGGAAGGAAACAAACACTTGCACTGTAGAGTTGGAAACAGGGGAAATAAGAGAAGAAAGAAAAATTTGAGCTGAATCTTAAAAAGTGTAGAGTTATGGGAACAGGTAATTAAATTGAAACCACCTCCCTGAAACTATGGAAATAGGGAAGGACAAAAGTTATGTAACTCAGCGAAATGCAACCAAAATCATTTAAATGCCTGCTGTATGCTAGGAATGCCAGATATGTGCCAGACCCAGCTCAAATACCTGTCCTGTCCAAAGTTGATCCTTCCCACATCTGAGCACCCTGTCAGTCAGTCTCAACTTCTCTCATGTCCCTGAAGCTATCCTCATTCCTACATTCTGCTTCCTAGCTGTGTGACATTGAACTAGATGGTTAAACTCTATTATCTGGTGTCCTTACCTGCAAAATGAGCATAATAAAAGCACTTAACTTCACAGGTTTGTTATGAGGATCAGATTAGTTGATGATGTATGATAATAATTAGACCAGTGTATGCATACTTCCGGTAAGGACTATAAACCTGTTTGCTGTTATTGCTATTATTAAATGTTATTGTAATCTTTCATTCGTCTGATTGATTTCCCTGCAGAACAGTGCTTTTCCCCTGTGGGTCTTATTAAAATGCAG